AGTTATGTTAGCCACTTCCTCAATATTTTATTTGAGTACTCTGCCCTGGGTCATGATTTAACCGTAGGCTGATTGGTCTACTTGTATTTCAAGTCAGTAAGTGCAGTTTTACTAAAAATATTAGAGGTGTAGAAGGGATAGATAGCAACGGTAACGAATGCTTCAGCAACGCACAATAAATAACTTTTAAAATTAAATACGAACTAGCTCGGCTAATTTGCAAGATGGAAATACCTATTTTCTGCTTACTTCTTGCCACTGGTAGTTCTTACCCAACTAATTTACGTTTCGACAATTATCTTTTAAAAACTGTTCTAGATTGCTGGACGCTATTTTTTCTTTAATCTGCCCGTTTTATTTTAGGATCTGGTTATTGCCAGTTCGATTCTGTTCAACGCTATGGCGCCGAATGTCTGAAGAAAGCAATAGACGCATCTGTCGAATGGCTGGCATCTGGCAATCTCGAACACTTCCCTAAGCCCGGACTAACAGCTTCATGTATTAAAAAGATTTCTATTGCATCTCTCCTGAATCGGCGTCGGCGGCAAGAAGATCGATGGTTTCTTGTGGCTGATTTACTCAAGTATGCTCCAACACAAGAAAAACTCACATACGTAAGTACCTTACTCATTGTATCTTCTTTCTACTAGCGCAGTTTATTGACTTTCAATTGAAGTCTGTATCTATCTACTCCTCTCGAGCCCATTATTAAGAATTTCAACTCCTAGAAAATGCAACAAGCCTGAATATTTTACCAAGCTTATCAAATTTGTTTCCCCATGGGGTGACTATGCCGTTCTCGCCGATTTCCTGGTTTAGAAACTTGACCACTTCCCTTATCTTATCCGAATTTTATGACCTTTTTACAAAAGGATGGATGTATTAAATGGTCCTGTTTTTTTCGAGGCGAAAATAATTGTGCTGAGGTTTAGTCTATAGAGGTTTTTAATGGTATGAAGGCTTTCTTAAAGTAAAAACAGCTAAATCACCACTCGTATTACTTAAATCTCAGGTTTGACTACCGCTTTTGTGTGCGATCTCCTGTCACTACCCTGTCATATCCTTAACAAGCACTTCGGCTCTTATCATTTTCGGAATATTACGCAATTTAATTTAATCATTGAGCTCTCGTGGCAAATATATATATCATATATCATATAAGACATGACATGTTTTTAATCTACCAGGACGCGCTAAAAGTTGTAGTCTGAAAGGCTAATACCTGACGGGAGAACTCGGTTCTCTCTGAGCAGAGAGTCAGGCTCCAATGGCTCCTACATTCGGCCTCTATGGCATTCATCCCTAGGTGGAGTCCGAGGCACGCCTTGTTTCTGTGAAAACCTGGTCCACCATTCTCGGACCAGGCGTTTGGGGCGCGTGTGTGACAAACTGGTTAGTTTTTTCAACCATTGCGTCTTAGCTCACCTACGGCCGTCCTGACTCAGTTTCGCCACTAGGTCCTACAGGAAGATGAAGAAGGGGAGGGTGTTGTAGATACTGCACGAGTATAATATCACTATAAAATAATTCGCCTGCCAGTCACCATCCTGCATCCACCATGTGGTGGGGCACGTGATGGGCATCGTTATTTGTGACATTTGACCTGATATAGGTACACCATGACTTCTTCATTGGTTGTGCACGCTAACCTTGTCACTGCCACAGTATTTCCCTCCCACAAGTTTCGTGAATTTTGTTCCTGTGTTTGATTCTGTCCATACCTAGTCATCCTGCCATCGAGTTTCCCTAGATTGGTTGAAGTGTGCTTGTTAAAAAAATCAACGTCAATATGAATGACAGGCAACAAGATTCCCCCGATTTTGCCTCCTGTGAAGGCTCTTCTCTCTTATGAAGTAGACGCAATCGCTGGGATCAAAACTTTATTCGTCTAACCTTTCGGATTCCCTCTCGAAACCATAATTAGAAACAGTAGCAGAAACGGGTAGCGCATACACAGGGTGTTGCAATATTTATAGCATGCAGTCGTGTTACTGCATACCTATGGCGATTAAAGGCTCTCCCTTTGTCGAGGATAGCTACCCATTTTTACGCTAATCGCTCGATGGCTGGCGTGGTCGGGCCACGGCATGCTGCGATTTCGCCAGTCGTGCTGCATTTTAGCGTGATGATTGCTCGGCCATCTGGCTCTCCGGCACCAGCGTTGAAATATGCGTTCCTCTGAGGGACAAATGGCTTTAGCCAAACTGGGCCTCAGCACCGAATACGCTTTGGGGAAGTAATTTCACTCGTGCGTAGAGTGCGGGCCTGTAAATTATGACTCAAGCAATTTTCATCTTTCGCTAGCATTTCGGCCTCATCTTCTTCTCAATTACTTTCTGGTACTCTTATTTTCGCTCGTGCTCTCTTATCCATTCTGTTTGTCCATGTTATCAGTGGTGGTATAACAGGTTATGGTTCGTACCTTTCAGATCTTGGCTGCGCTTATGTTTTTGCGTTGTTAGCGAATTACTTTGAAGCAATGCCGTGCTGTTAACATTTAAATTCATCAAAACATGAATCAGTGTGAGATCGATTCAAAGACCAAACAAAGCTTTCACTGCGTGTTAAAAAAGCATACATCGCCTTTATCTACCGCTGCCCTTCAAGCTTGTGAGCCAATATGTCTCGGCCATATTTTACGCCGACCTGTAAATGAACGCCTGCAGAATATAATCAAGTCCGAGTTCTGGCTTAGATGATGGAGGCCGAAAACCGAAAACGTTGTTGGCTGGCGTGAAAGCGTACTTCGGCCGCATATCGTTTTTTGTTAATTTTAGTTTGCGATTCCATCGACTCATCTGAAATTGGCAGTCTGCGCCGATCACCTGGAATAGACTACGATTCTTCCTGACGCCATTGACCTGTACCTCGATACCGGATAAAATAGTTCTAATGAGTGTCGCAGTTTACCGGCAACGAAGTAGTGGACGACTTAAGGTTAAGCTGACACTTATTCCCGTGCCTCCTTTTCTTATTTAGCTTGTGTATTGTACCTGTCGTAAAGGAAGATTATCTCGAACTCACTTTCTAGATAGTGGCTTACGACGGAAGGGGGAAGCAGATGTTGCGTAGATATTGCATCCACAGTTTTTTCAAACAAGTTTCGAAATTCAGCTAACCTACCGAGCAGGCCAGTTTGTGTCGGAGATATTTTACTATTTCCGTACCTCCTTAAATTCTTCGCTTGAACTCTGTCTTCACTTTACTTTCTACTGCAGGCGCCTTTACGATCGAAGATTTTCCTATGTTCATGGTTATCATGTTTCCATGGTTTTCAATATAAACCTGCAACACATATTTTTTCCAGTATTCCAGTATTATGGGTGACACCCAGCCTTCAGCGATTGTCCAAGGTCTGCATTCAGTTAGTCATAGCTTTTAATTCTTAGTTTTTTTTACCATTCCGATCCACTTTATTAAATATATCTTGCTCAAGAGCTGGTATTATTTACGTGCCCTGAATAGCTTCGTCGCTTAAAGTGCAAAATTCTTCAGTCTGCAAAGGGTTCCCACGTAGCCAGTGAATATCCCAACCAGTGGAAAAGTTATACCGGAAAACAAAGAGACCGAAATGTTATTTCAGACTTATGGGCAGCCGTCAACCAGCTAGAACTCAACGGCAAACCAGGAAGAACTGGGAGTGAGACGTCAGTTTAGTTGTCCATTAAATCCAGTACTCTAGCAGCTTGCCCCCTATGGGTTGCGTTCAGGAATATTCGAAGTCAAATTGGAGCTGCCTTAACTGGTCTGGTGTGATCGCGGAGCGGAAGGCAGACCGGTCTGCGACTGTCACAGGAAGCGAGATTCTTGTGAGCAATCAGTAGTCAAAAACTGCTACCGACGACGCGAGGGAGGTCGTAATGGCCATGCTTGGCTTTTACATCTTCGTCACCTGGCCATACCTCCAGCCTAGTTTGAAACTCCGGGGGTATTCACCTGGACGCAGTTGAACTTTGAACTTAAAGCCCGGCAAGATGATATCTCGTTCTACTATCGAACCACACCAGTAAACGTCTCTGCCAGGTGTCTTCTCATTTAACTCTTCTACGCCGTTTTTTATACTCCGTGACTTGGTAGACGACCGGAGGATTGATAGCCTGATGCAGCAGTGCAGTCGCTTGCAATTCTGTCCGCTTTCATCTTGGTTCTAGAGAAAACATAGCACATTCATTCTTCGCTTTCACAGTGTTTTTTGATCGCAGAACTGCCCGTACAGTTCATTCGGTGCCAGCGGCTCATTACCATCCGTATGGACGTGTGGGCGGTAGTAGGGTCGATAGATCAGCGCATTTTCCCTACTATAAACAATTGACGTGCTTGAAGCTATCGCAATGTGCTAAAAGCCGTAGCTTAGAAGCTTGCCAACTGACGGGAAACTCGGACAGCGCGATCAGCCCAGTGTGCGTTGTGTGAAGGGGAGGGGCTGTCTGGCGTACTGGGTGCCAGGCTGCAATGGCTCCTTCTTAATGAGGCCTTTATGGCACTGCCGCTCAGCTGGAATCCGAGCCACCCACCTACTTTGTTGTGATTTTCCGATTGTGTTTACCCACAGTGTGTGGGCCTGCGCCCTTTCTCATCTCCGGTCTTCTTGACTTTGTCTTGAGACCGGGTCCAGGTGGGGGAATGGGGATAGAGTGGGGTACATGTTCTTTCACTATAATCCAGCGGAAATCACCGTCTCTGCGCCACTCTGCTGTGAAATGTACGGTAGACATAATCGAAACCGCCCGTCGGCCCACCCGTCTATATCTAGATCATTGCTTCTTCCCTGTGTTCCCTCCAGCTCTGGCACCGCGCACGCCCGTTATATTTCCTTCTCTCATCAGTGTGGAAAAAAACTGACTAATCCTGTTGTGAACTTGTAGTTTTCCTCCGCTCTTCCTAGTTGCACGCACCTTTTTTCGCGTTCATGTCTGTTTCTTGACCGGCTGACTAATTCTCAACAGAATCGCACACAGTTCTGCGCATAAGTGCTTCCACCTATGCACTCGTACATACGTATTCGTCATCGCCCTTCAACTTAAGTTTCTGTAGTTTTGGAGATGTGCGCATCTTAATAATCGTTTTTGCCTCCTTGTCTGCTGTCGTTGTGATGACCGTGGGCGTTAAGACCACTGTTGGCCGGAGGCAAAGCGGCTGGCGGCCCAAAACCTTAGTGGTAGTAGTAGTGCGCCATCACTAATTTTCTGCCGCTGGACCTTCGAAGACGCTTGAATGCGAATAGGTCTCAATGTCGCTTGCACAAATCTAGTAGGTTCAAGAACGTTGGGTTGTCACCAGCAAATATTATGACTAAGTTAGTCATTAGACCCTGCTGGAAATAGTAACAATCACCTGCGTCTGTTGAAATTGGTTAAAAAGTCGACGATTGCCAATATGAAAAGATGGCAATATCTGTATCCGTTGCAAGGTTACTTCTGTCGCATTTTTAACACAACAAAGCCAGTCGTCATAAATTTCAACCGGGCTGTGGACTTCCATAACTGCGTTCCCCAAATTCGTGTTCGATATCCTACCTATCCTTTAAACAGCTCGGCCTAGCAGCCTAAATTTTGATGTTGTCCACTGCTGGTTTGTGCAGCAAGAATTATATTAGGCTTCCGTTTATTTGCTCGTTGTGCCCATAATTTTCAAGAAGACATAGCTCTCTGATACTGAAGTAGCCCAACTATCTTTTTCGGTAGTTTTTGATTCGGGCATAACTGCAGAGGCAACCGTGTCCACTATTATCTCTAAAAGGCGTCTGGTGTCTACCTTTGCCTCAAAGAAAAGTGGGGGGATGCAGCTCACTACATTGATTTGCGACACAGTCAATCTCCGAGATTGCCCCTGCCGTTAGACAATTTATAATAAAAGTCCATTTCTGAGCTTCTACCTTTCTAGGACCTTATTAGACGGTAACACTTGACTGTGCATACGAGGCACGTCTCCTGCAGTTGCCATACCGCGTGCTCATCACCCGAGCCCATGACTTCAACTACGTCGAAATCAATCGCTTGGGCGATACTAGACGCCAACGGCGACTTTGGCAGGTCCAATCTCCGCAATGCCTATCGATACCCTCGTCTCTAATTTTCGATCAGTTTCTGTATTATGCGTTCTCTTTCCATTTTGGCCGACAGACGATAGATGAGTTCGATTTGTTAATAATGGTTTTCCTAGGCACGATACCTGACGGGAAAGTCTTAGGTCCGAATGGAAGAATGAGTTGCATTCCTAACGGTGCTAGAAAGCGGGCTACCGAGACGCGTCACTGGGTCTAGTTTGTTGTCTTTCTTAATTTTGTTCTTTAGAGGTCGTTGACTTGTCCCCGCGAACACATGTGGGCAACTGTTTGTTCTGAGCAGCCATTAGGACTCGATGGCACCATATATCTAGACGGTTTGCGTACTACGATGAGTTTTTACTTTCCGGTAGAGTATGTGAACGCCTCTCTTTTTTGTATTACAGAATGTAACCATTGTAAAAAGTCGATATTGACGGCGTGTGTGTGAGAACTTTTTTTTATGTCGCCGACACTGTAATCCGCCGTAATAGGACTCGTAAGTCGTTACCACTAAATGTAAATGACACGGATTCGACACACAACAAAGCAGACCATATTGCGTAGTAGTTTCTTCATTCATTTGGTAGGTCCGTGCGTCCCTATTCGTGCGTTATTCACGCCTCATTAAATACGGCATTCTGTTTGCACAAGGCGCCCCAAAAGTTGCTTAAGTCGCCTTTTTTTCTTAACCAGGGTCTCATAAAAGCTGTCTTGGTGTTAACTGTATTTCCGGAGAGTATCCTACCTTCTTAAAACTTGTGTGGGAATATGAAGAAAAAACGGACTCGTATTTTTAAGGCCTTTTCTGCAACGACCTCATGTGTTTGCTAGTGGACTGAAAACTAGAATTTTTCTCTGGGCCACCATATTTATCTAGCTGAAGTCCGCTCCTATGTGTAGCATTTCTGGAATTCCGTTTCTATAGCAGTATTTCATTTTTCACGTAACACCCCCAGCTTTGGTAACCCCACGATTTATGTTTCGGTTGCCGTCGGCATCACTAACCGCATTTTCCGTGCCTCTTATTCGTTTCCGTATCCTTTTCTTAGGACAGCTTCATCACTGGTACGCCTACCGTGTCTTCAGTACTGGACTATTAACAGAGTTTGAAATTTCTGTCAAATAAAGTGGTGGGCCTGCGTAATTGTTTTTATAGTTGCTGTCCGGAACTCATTTTCTCCCTCTGCATACGCTGACCTAGTTCAATAGAGAATTGGTGGAATTTTACCGAAAACTGTAATCCCAACGGCAATATAATTCCGTCAGGCTTGCCGTTACCTTAGCCGAGAAAGTGGGACCCCTATCGGCGACATCCTATCGCAGGTTCCGACGTTATTATATCGTATTTCTTTTCCCAATACTACATTACTTTTGGCGTTGTTGGATTGAAATTTCCAATGCTCATCTTGCCTATTCACAGCAATTGAGCAATCGCTCTAGAAACATGCATCCAATGCTTGTTTTATTTATTTTTGAAAAAATTTTGCCGAACCCCACGACGTTCACACAAACGGCGGGTCCGTCAAGAAGACCGGCGAGGCCTCTCATTTCCTTGTTCTACACTTCCCTTTTTATATTTCAGGGCGCCACCGTCTGGTGAATAGTCAGTTTGTTTAAAAAAACATGTTTTCCCTCATTCAGGGCGAATATCCGATGATCTTGGGTTGTGGAGTGTTTGATGGACATGGCGGACCGGAAGCCGCGGAACACTGCTCGAATCTTGCACCTCTCCTTCTCAGCCGCCGGCTTCAACGTCGCTTTCTACCTTCCAACAAGGATTGCAAATCACAAGAGACCATTCCCGATATCTTGGCCAGCGTAATAGATGATCTGAATTTTTCCGTGAGCGAGTGCCATAGAGAGAAGGTGAGTCCCAGCTATTCATTGCGATATAATTCCTGATTATTCGTCCTTATACGGAGAAGGACAGTAAGCCGGCCTTAAGGGCTTAGTTTTAATCAAATTACAAGTACATACCTAGCCACCAATCAGAGGCATCTAGGAGTGTCGCTCACCAATCTATCATGATTGCAGGACGTAATGCGGACTTTTTGCTGTGCCTTTCCCACTAGATGATTGCCAGATGCCCTTGATTATTTGGCGGGTTATTTGTACTGCTCCCGAACGCGATCCCCAAACAGTTGCGCTCTGTATCGGAGCGATGCATTCACGCTCTTTCTCATTATCCGCTGACTGAAAATCTGCACAGCTTCCAGATCGCCTGTTCTAAAAAAACAAAGCGGCTGTCATAAACAATCGTTACAACTCACATAAACAAAATGAAGGTCTTGTATCTCAGGAAAACGTGCTAGCGAACTCAACGAGAGGAGTGCTGCTGACTGATAAGCTTTGTTTCTATTTGTCCTCGATGCTGTGAAGGAGGCCGATCGTCTAGTTTGTCATCCTTACGCCCGTTTTAAAATCGTCTAACCAGAGTGGGCCTTTTGAGCATTTCCCCACCTTAAGGTTTTGTTCGCATTCTTTAAACTCTTTGCCCTGCGGATACTTGATAGGCTTTTCCAGCTTGATAGAACTAGGCCAGTTCGCAGTTCTGGGGGAAAATCACGTAAAATGCACTCTCCCGACCAGTGGTGTCTGTAGTGTCTATGCTACACTGTAGACAAGCGTAACGATGATTCTAGTGTGTATACACCATGAACTGATGTCTGTAAAGGTGATGGCAACCAATTTCGACTATGTCGCTAACACAAGACAAGTTCACTAAGCCCATCCGGAATGCCTCTTGACTCAGATATTATATTCACACACAAATGTATTTCACGCAAACTTCTCACGCAGTAATAAGAGGCACTCGCTACCCCGCCAAAGCCTCACTGCGCCCTGACTTACTCAGTCTTACCGTAACGGTGCCTTTGTATGGTGTGCACGTAGCCACTGTCACCTGAAGGAACCTCCTATTCAGAAGTAGAATATGCGATCGCTGGAACAAGAATTTTATTTGCCTGCCGTTTCGGATTCTGTCATAGGTAATCGTAGGGATTCACGACAGAATCCGAAACATCAGACAAATAAAAATTCTTGTTCCAGCGATCGCATATTCTACTTCTGAACGTCTCTAGAAACTCACATATTCGCTTCTATCAGCCACCTCGTATTCTTATGCCTCGAGACTCTCTCCAGTACACCGGAAGGGGGGAGGGAGTAACCTCTGTGGCTGGACATCCCTTTTCATCGACGCTTTCGCTCATACCTTATTACAGCGTTCCTGATCTGCGCATAACCCTACTGCGATATTCGTCTATGAAATACAGGGAGTGCAGAGTGCGGCATTGTTCCCTTGCTCACGTGGATATGTACTTTTATCGATACGGTCTAAATACGAGTCTGAATATCGCCTGAAGGCGCATGTTCCGTGGCAGCCTATTATCTTCCATGAGAGAAGGAGCGAAAGGCTGTATAAACACACTTGGCTGCAAACCACGGAGTATGTTGAGAACAGTTGCTTCATGCTCACTGCTCACATGAACGTGTTTGTAACTGTTGTTGATGATCACTTATTAAATCATAGCGGCTCCTGGAAGAGCGGAAGCACGTCCTGCTCATTTCATGATATTGGTAGCATAGCTTGCCACGATCCTTTGTCATTTTTACCATTTAAACGAAGGTAGTCAGCCTTATCCATAATAAGGTGTTAGAAAAACGAATACAAATGATTCGAGTGTGTCGCCCTAAAGTAAACGTTAATCAGGAGGTCGCTATCTCGCCGAGACTGTATTCTGTGAATAAAGTCACAGAAATCCTGGAACCTGTTCTAAAAGCTAGCAAGTTGCCGATGGAAGTGAATATGCGAGTTCTAGGAAGCAGTTCGGAAGAATAAGATGCGATCACTGGAACAATAATTTTATTTTCCTGACTTTTCGGATTCTGTCGAGAATCCTTAATCATAGGCAACCGTAGAATGGTGCGAGACATGCACATATTGGGGTGATACATGCACAGATTGCGCGGTATTTATAGTTCGTAGCCGTCATCCGCATGATAATTATAGTACACATGCAGATAACTGCTACAAACTACAAATACCGCGCAATCTGCGCATGCATCACCCCAATATGTGCATGTCTCGCACCATTCTACGGTTGCCTATGATTAAGGATTTTCGACAGAATCCGAAACGTCAAGAAAATAAAATTTTTGCTCCAATGATCGCATCTTCTTCTTCTTCTTCTTCTTCTTCTTCTTTATCTTCTAGACTAACAAATCTCTGAAGTAGCGACTTTTGCGCCATTGGTAGTGGGCTTGTTTTTGAATCTTGCCGCCTATGCAGTACTGTGGGAATCGGAGGATTGAAAACGCCGCAAGATAAGTAAATGGAAGCTTTTCTTGTAAAACCTTTGGATAAGTGCGCTCACTAAGGGAAGCTTTGTTCCCCCAAAGTTTCCTGGTGAGTGGCAAAACCTTTCTTCCCCCATCCTCTTGTACTGCTATGTGTGTGTGTCTGACCATCGGTTTCGATGAGGTCAACCAAGTGCACCAACA